TTTAAAATTCCAAACATACTTAATTTTCAAGTCTTGCATTCACTATTGAAATTCTTTGCCAATATTTACTGCATCTTTGAATCATTGCTTCAGCTTTTTAGCCACACAAAAAACTCTTATCACAATTCAAATTTTTATTATTTTTTGTTTGTGTATTTCTCACCGCTACCAATTACTATAGATAACCGCTGACCGATTTCGAGACACGTCTGTTGCTCGCGAAACCGTGCGAAGGACTAACTTTCTCGGCATCCAATTAACCGTTAAGCAGTTGCGCCAGTGCTTTACGCGCGCCATTCAAAACAAAAGCAACAACAACCACTTCAAGACAACAGCATATACAAACTAACAGTTAATCGCTGGCAACAGGCAATGAACTGTGGAATGCATAGGTCGTCACGGCGTATGTGGAACATATGGCTGTATGCAAGTGAGCGCGCAGTGCACGTGGTGGACCTTGGCGCTGGATGTCTACGAGTATTCGTATTTGTCAATAGCATTAAAATATATCTATATATATATACCTACGTGTATATGTATACATTTTTCCTTGTGTGTAACTTGTCTGCACGCTTCCACATTTCTGTTTTTCATTCAAAAGTTTTCTTGGCGCGTCGAAAATGACTTCCGCGCGTAATTCTCTACCTTCTTTGTGGAGCAGACGTCTTCTTCTTCTCCTTTGAATGCTGTAATTTCCAACTGGCGAATTTGTGCGGCAGCGCTGTCTTCGAAGCAAATAATAAGAAGAAAAAAAAAACTTTCACTTGCGCAAACAAAATTTTTGGCATCAGCTGGCGACAGACAGCAATGTCTCGCCATAATGAAGGGCCTCCTTAGCGGTTCAACGACTGGCGCATATTTTTACATCTGTAGCTTGCAAAATTCACTTCACTTTGGCCATTAAATCAAATTGACGTTATTTGCCTTTTCGCTGTTATATTGTTAACCAGGCAAACGGTTTTTGGTCTGTTTTGTAACTCGAAGTTTTGCACGCGCATTTTCTCATTTGTCTGTAGTTGTGTTTTTATTTTTTTTTTTGTGTGAGTGGGTGCTTGTGCGATTATTTTCTTTTCGCATGGCTGCCTTTGCATACAAATGAAACCCTGCACTTTGGTTTGGTTAACATTCGGAGGTGTAGATAGATGTTTGTTATGTACGATGTGCTTCTGAAGACTGCCTGTTAAGCAAGTCAGCATTTTTTCGTTTTGGTTGTTGTATGTATCTCTGAAGCTCAGGCTTTCTATAATTATGCAAATTTACATACAAGTTCTTCTTTTTTATTCCAATTTTAATGTGAACGAACTGCTGCTGCTTATCAGTTACTTCCATAGGTTTAGTAGCGGCATTTATGAAATTTGTCAATTATTTAATTGAATGTGACAATCCAATTCAAAGGATAACTTTTAGCAATGAAGAATAGCGCAAAAAATCAGCTTATTTGCAACACCGTTGAACATTCCTTACGATGAATTAAATCTTTCATATTACAACCTCGGTAATTTGTACACTTAAAGCCCACAGCTCAACCAGCCTGCCCGATACAGTTTCAACATTATGAGCGAGCATTTAATATTAGTCTAAGAGCCAGTGACACTTTTTCGGCATTATTTAGTTAGGGCCTATTTTATGGCAGCGCATCACGGGAGGTATGTTGAGTTGTCAACCGTGAAATTAGACCCTGGTGAGGGTAGCAAAGGGGAGCGGAACGCCATTAACTTGTAAAAATCATCGACCCAAAATATGATTTAGTTAAGGCTGCAATTTTACCCACCGAGGTTATGGTAGTCCACAATTATCAGGATAACATAGGCATACGGATCAGCCGATAATAAAAGAGCGGCTTATTATTTAGTTAATTCTGAAATATTCATATGTTATTCTTTCAACGATTTTAAGTCTAAAATTAAACTGGCAGATCGAAATGCCGGTATTAACTTCCCGACAGAACGATGTAAATATCGTTTTCGTTTGGTTTGCGGTTAAATTTATTTGGTTATGAATTTATCTAATACAAATATTGAATAACTTATCAATTAAAACAATCGTTTAATCAGGTGCAGGGATGGTATTTTCAGGGATAGTAGTCGGGAGATCTTTAATTTAGGCCTAAGTGAAAGATTATATTACCTTTGGTTTCATTGCTAGAGCTTCTCAAATATTGCAAAAAAGCTATTTTTTACCACGTTTTTCTCAAAATCTGGAGCTGATGAAAACTTTATTTAAAAAGTTAAATCAATTGTTGCAATATGGGTATCGACCGAATTAGTGTTGAAAAGGCTTTATACCTTAACTACGTGTAGGAGGGTTGCCACATGTTTAAAAATCTAATGCAATTTTCATGAAAGAAATTAGGTATCACCTTATGGGTGTCAAACAAAAGAGGTTTAAGAAGGTAGTAGTTTGAAAATATTTTGAAGAGGTTTGCCATTTATTTGATAAGTTAAATGAATTATTAAAAGATGGTTCTCAATCAAAATGAGTTTGAAAACCCCTTATTTCTGAACAATATTAAGGAGGGTTGCTAAGTGTTTAAAACATAAAATTCAACTTAATTCATCAGTTACTTGAAATATTTATCACAATGTCAGTCGGAAGATATTCAACGAAATTTAAGTACGGAAAAAATTTCTAAGAGGGTGGCCGCCTATTTTGAAAGTTGAATTTAGTTTAAATATACACAGGTTATAGAGCATTTTAAAATATGGGTATCAAACGAAAGTTTGAACATTTAAAATTGTTTAGGGTGTCATAAGAGGGTTGCCATCTGTTGAAAAAATTTAATTCAAAGTACTTAATAAGTTAAATAGATTGTCAAGAGATGGGTATCAACCGAAATGGGTTTGAAAATAATTTTTTCTGGACTGTATTTAGGAGAGTTGCCACGTGTTAAAAAACTAATTCAACTTAATTCATGAGTTAATTGAAATATGTATCACAATGTCAGACCAAAAAAGTTAAAAATATTTAAGTTTGGAAATACTTTTAAGGGGGTTGCCACCCGTTTGAAAGGTCGAATTTGTTCTGATTAAAAACGTGCTGAACGAAATATCGTAATATTAGTGTCAAACGAAAGAGTTTTAAGAAAACTTTCAAGCTGATAATATTTTTAATGAATTTTAATTTTCCTGTAAGAATATGAATACATTTACAGTTTTAAGCTTAGATTAGGAAATGCATAGCTCTTTCCAGCCATCAGCATAGCACCTTTCCGTCGATAAAGTCACTTCATATCTTCGCACCTGCAAGAAGGAGGGGAGTACATAAATTTTGTCGCTACTAAATACTGCAGCCCTGAGTGTTACATATGTATGTATGTATGTATCTGTGTATGTTGCACTCTTTGCCAAACAGGCAGGCAGGTTTGTAGTTGTGTTTATTTTTATAAATCAGCAAAGACTTCATAAGCTTTCGACGAAGTAACTTTTTACATTATTTTGCTAGCACCTTTTGTTTGGTCTACCTAAAAATGTTGTTCATGAATAATGGATTTTTGGATTTGTGTCTTGCGTTGGTTTTTCTTTTTAAAGAAAGATTTTGCCGACAGATGTATGTAGGTGCATATTTAATACATATAAATGAAGTCATATGCAAACATGGAAACTCGTATATGCATATGTTTCCAAACTTGTTTAGCCGGGATTAAAGGCAAATATATACCAGATGGGTAGTGATTTATGTACGCCCGAGCAACGCAACAGCTACTACTTAAGTGCGGTAAATTTCCGCGAAGGCTTAGCGGCAGCTATTTTTGCTCGATTAAGAAAATGGGAAGGCTGTGAGGAGGAAAACTATATTGCCTTCCAATTAAGTATGAACATCTCTTCAATTTCTATAAATAGCAAATGAAAAGATTTAAGATGAGAAACCCGGGAAGATAATTTTTGTCACTATGTGTTATTGATGCCTATATAGCTGGCAACTCTTATCCAGGTGACATTTCAGGCTAGATTTTTAGTGAAGACAAAAGACAAGACAAGAAATTGGTGAAGTAGTAATTGGTGTGAGTGAATGCCGGGCTCAGGAGAGGTTTGTTTTATTTCATAGCGGAAATTTTGAAATACAAAAAAAATTAAATTAAATATAAAAAAATTAAATTGGAAAAAATAAAAATCTTTGCCACTTTCTTTCTTAGTAGATTTGTTTGCCTCTCGAAGCATTTTTATCGCTTATTTTGTATGGAAAACGGTTTCACATGCAAATAGATGTTGACATTTTATAATTTTTGTGAGAATAAATTAAAAAATATTTGACATTTTAGACACCAAATAATTTAAAAAAAAATCAAATTAGCTGCTCTACTGATACTACCTCTTCAATATGCCTTGGGTTTACTTCAAATTCAATAAATTTTCTTATGGCCAACACACTGTAATTTAAAAGATTTCAATTTTCGATCTCCACTTTCGCATGTGCAAGTGCACAAAATCGATTAACCAAATAACTTTAACAAGAAATGATGCAGCTGCGTCGACGTGCACTTGCCGGTCAAGGGGAGGTAAGAGCCCAAAGGGCTCAAAACTATGTAATTGTTGTTAATAGCAAATTAAGGGCTTCACTACAGATGCGCTCTTGTTGCGTCATCACTTGCAACCCCACTGGTTGGTTCTTCGCATCGGCCATTCAGTGGCATTTAACAAGCTATGTAACGGCCAAACTTTTAATAGTGGACGCTTCCTGCCGTTAGTTGCCTAACCAAACACATAACTGTGTGCTGCATTGAGTGCAGCCTCAAAACTGTTAAATGCGCAAATTTTCAAAACTTTCAACCATAATTACGCAATTAAATTATTTGCCACAATTACATTGATTGCTCGCCACATGCGCACTTATATTTTTGTAAATATCGTAGCAAAATTTACGGGGAAATTTTTGATATAAATTGTAAAATTTCCAGCTAAAATCAACTTGTATTTAATCAACCGTAGGCAAATCCGAATTTAATTAATAAATATTCAAATCAATTTCTCATTAAAATCTGCTACCGGTGTGTATTTACCGTTATGAATTTCAAATTTCTATCGCGCTCATTTCCACTGTGCGACTATTACTTCTGCGTGCCGAAGCTTTGTCTTGGTTCGATGGGCTTTTGGCCAGGCGACACGTGCCGACAGAATGCGGCCAATATTGGCGCCCGGATAAACTTCTTCATTTTGGCCATTGGCGTCGTTACCGAAATTCATGCTGGCTGCTCGGTGCTCAAGTCCGATTTGGAACTGGCCTTGGACACACTTTGCCCAGCGGGCACCTCGGCAGTAACGCTACTAAAAATGGGCTTGATCTACTACTACCGCAAGGACTTGGCATGGGTGCTGAAGCGAATGCAAGTCTTGGTGTACGAGCGAGGTGGTGAGCGTATTTACTAGTATAAATGCTATATGTAAATTCGAAACCCTACGACATATTATTGCTTATTTGTTTTTTTTTTATCTAGTGCGAATAAATCCCACAAAGAAGCACATCATACGGGCACACTCCGTCGTGGCGGCACGCCTTAATTTCATACCGTTCGTAATGGGATTCATTACGTGCACCTCGTACAACCTGAAACCATTGCTAATAACACTAATACTCTATTTGCAAGACCAAGAGCTGATGTGGAAGCTGCCATTCAATATGACGTAAGTGCATTTTCGGGCATGCTTACATACTAAATATGTACATACGTATGTACGTAGAGCATTGGCGCATACCAATTCGGGAAATACTCCCCCTTTAACAACAATAACTGTGATAGGCAGAAATTGAAGGAAATTTGCGTTGTCTTTGTCTTTGCAGGATGCCAGCGTTTCTGTTGCATGCGCCGTACTATCCGCTCACTTATATCTTCACCGCTTACACCGGCTACATTACCATTTTCATGTACAGTGGCTGTGACGCGTTTTACTTTGAATTTTGCTCCAATACTGCTGCGCTGCTGAAGCTATTGCAAGAAGATTTGAAATCGATCGTTGGCTATGGTGGAGGTAATGCCATCGCCTATCTCGCTTGCTGATTGCTAAACTCAATTAAGTTTTAAATTTTTGCATATATAANGCTGCGCTGCTGAAGCTATTGCAAGAAGATTTGAAATCGATCGTTGGCTACGGTGGAGGTAATGCGATCACCCAGCTCGCTTGCTGATTGCTATTTTGTGTTTAAGTTTTAGCACACATACTCGTACCTAGAATAATTCATCTCACCAAGTCGCAAAACACACCTAAATGTTTTCTTATCCACGTAGATAAACTCAGCCTAACCGCGGAGGAGCTCACCATGCTGGAATGGCGTTTGGTGCGTTTCATTAAGCGCCACAATGATATTATCGAACTCACGCGCTATTTCCGCAAACGCTACACGGTCATCACATTGGCGCACTTTGTCTCGGCGGGTCTGGTAATTGGTGCCAGTATATTTGATCTTATGACGGTAAGTTTGTCGCTCGCCCTCTTGGCCTAGGCTCAACGGTTAATAAGGTNGGTCATCACATTGGCGCACTTTGTCTCGGCGGGTCTGGTAATTGGTGCCAGTATATTTGATCTTATGACGGTAAGTTTGTCGCTCGCCCTCTTGGCCTAGGCTCAACTTTTAATAAGGCNGCTTACATACTAAATATGTACATACGTATGTACGTAGAGCATTGGCGCATACCATTTCGGAAATACTCCCCCTTTAACAACAATAACTGTGATAGGCAGAAATTTNACATACTAAATATGTACATACGTATGTACGTAGAGCATTGGCGCATACCAATTCGGGAAATACTCCCCCTTTAACAACAATAACTGTGATAGGCAGAAATTTAAGGAAATTTGCGTTGTCTTTGTCTTTGCAGGATGCCAGCGTTTCTGTTGCATGCGCCGTACTATCCGCTCACTTATATCTTCACCGCTTACACCGGCTACATTACCATTTTCATGTACAGTGGCTGTGACGCGTTTTACTTTGAATTTTGCTCCAATACTGCTGCGCTGCTGAAGCTATTGCAAGAAGATTTGAAATCGATCGTTGGCTATGGTGGAGGTAATGCCATCGCCTATCTCGCTTGCTGATTGCTAAACTCAATTAAGTTTTAAATTTTTGCATATATAACTCACCAAGTCGCAAAACACACCTAAATGTTTTCTTATCCACGTAGATAAACTCAGCCTAACCGCGGAGGAGCTCACCATGCTGGAATGGCGTTTGGTGCGTTTCATTAAGCGCCACAATGATATTATCGAACTCACGCGCTATTTCCGCAAACGCTACACGGTCATCACATTGGCGCACTTTGTCTCGGCGGGTCTGGTAATTGGTGCCAGTATATTTGATCTTATGACGGTAAGTTTGTCGCTCGCCCTCTTGGCCTAGGCTCAACGGTTAATAAGGTTCACTGTTTTGCAGTTCACCGGCTTCGGCATCGTCATCTACATCGGCTACACAATTGCGGTGTTGGGACAGCTATTCATTTACTGTTACGGCGGCAGCATGGTGTCCGAGAATGTAATTGAAGTTACTTATGCGGAAAAGTGTTCGCCAACGAATTTTCGATTGCCATGCAAGATATTAGCAGAGATATTTTATCAGCAGCAGGCAGCGAAATTTCGAAGCAGCCTCCTTCGTTGGTTTATTCTATTTAATTTTTTTTTTTTAACTCTTCTTTCTTACAGAGCGTTGCATTGGCCACGGTGGCCTTTGGCTGCGATTGGTATGCTTGCAATCCGAAATTGCGACGCTATATTCTGATGATCATTATCCGCTCGCAACGCGCCATCAGCATGTCAGTGCCGTTCTTTTCGCCATCGTTGGTCACATTCACTTCGGTAAGTCGCAAGCATTATAAATTAACGCAAATGCTCTCATTTATTGATAATATTATGCATTCCACAGGTACTACAAACATCCGGTTCGATAATAGCTTTAGTCTCCTCATTCAAATAAATGTGCAAACAAAAACAAAGCTACAAATGCATGATTATGCTTATTACATATATGTATCTGCTAAATCGCTTATATATTACATATAACAGTCAACTGTCGTTTTATTCGAATAAATTTGATGCTTGTCGCATTGCGGTAGCTTCACGTAGCAAAAAATCGCGCATACGCCGTGGCATCCTAAAGCGAAGGACCAAAAAAATTTACTCTGCGACCAGCTGTTAACATTAATTAGTGCACATGGATTTTATTAATAGACATGCACATATGTGTGTATTTAATAATTATTAATCAGAGCGGTGTTTAATACTAATTTATTTAAATTCAACTTAGTTGTTCTGGCCATGTTACACGTACGTTATTTGCATACAATTTAAATTGCATACATACATATATTTTTTCTGTTTTTAGGCTTTTTTTCACTTAAACAAATCGTTTAAATAAAATTAAAAGTTCAAATTACCAAATGACGATGCAATGCTATATTAATTAGTGACAGATTTTTTAATGGAAGGCTAACTGCTGTAATTAAGGACACTTGTACTTGGAACTCTCACTGCGCGTAGCAAAGGGAGTTTCGCTGAATGTACATATTATTGAAATATAAAATTTTCCGTTTTTGTCTTTCTAAAACACACTGCAGTGAAATCCAATTAAGAAGAAAAGAAAATTGTATAAACATATGTAAGTTGTTTAATTGCGCCTACACTTTTGCTAAGTGTTTGGCTGAGCCTTTTCTGCAACTAATTTGCCTCTTAGTCTCATCTCTCATAATCAATTTATGTTATTCATTAGTTTGAAATTGTGAATAAATGACAGGCTATCTTTTCTATCTTTATCCCTACCACCATTCACCTAGATAATGTTAGGTGCGATGACGTGATAAGATGTTATGCGATGTGATGTGATGTAATTTCATTTGTGGTAACATAACGTGATGTGATGTGATGTGATGTGATACGATGGTATGTCATGTGATTTAGTGCCATGTAATGTCGTGTCATGCGGTGTCATATTATGTTATGTCATGTCATGTGATTTCAGGCGATACAAGATTTTACTGATTTCACTGAAATTCAAAAAGTCGTAACTAATAAAAAATTCAAAAATCACTTTTTGATTGATATGATGGATTTTATCGAATTACAACTCCCACATAATTTTGTGAAAAAAAAAAAAATTGAAATATTATTCACGACTTTTTCCATTTCAGTTACGATGTTGTTACGTCTTTCTGCATATCTGATGTCGAAATGTATGTGTGCACATATGTATATACATTTCTGATGATCTAAGAGCTCTTTTTTTGTAAGCTTACCATGCTCATAACACTGTAGGGAACGCCATATCGTACATGGCCGTACTCGTACATCTGTATGTATGTACTTCCACGTGGCGTATGAGTAACATTTTCCATGTTAAAGTTTGAATTTTCTTTTTTTAATTCGCAATGCAAACTTAAAATGAAAATATCTTGGCAAAATTACCTGATCCAGAAAAACGGTGTACAGATCCGTAATCTACGACCCAAAATTCAGTTTACTTATCTCGGCGTTTTTTTTTTGTGTCATTTTAGCGTGCCTACAGTCAAATTAGCAAACTCAATTTGGAAACTCTCAAAGTTTAAATTTCACATAAAATACATGACTAGCGTGCCTAAAAATCAGTGGCATTTTTAAAAAGATTGTCTTATTTTTAGCAAAAAATTCACAGTCCATTTGACAGCTGTCAACTGTGAAAGTTTTAATTTCGCATAAAATTCGTGGCTAGCGTGCCTAAAAAGCTTATCAGTGGCATTTTTAAACGGGTTTTCCAAATTTTAGAGAAATTAGCAGTTGATTTGACAGCTGTCAATTGTCAAACTATAAATTGTATGGCATATTTATTCGGATTAAGCATTACAAAAATACTGCGATCCTGTAGTTTCATTATAATCGTAACAACCATTATAATTTTTCTCGTAAAACATGGCTGCTCCGACCACTGTGTGCCCGTGTTTTTTTTTTTTGTACAGTTTAATTGTAATACATAATTTCATTAGGTTAACTTTCTTGAATTCCCTTTGTGTTTACTACTACACTACCTCCTACCAGTCAATAACCTAAACTTTTCAACTTCCTACTTAAAATTCACCTCTCAATAACATTCACTGAATATTTAAACAAATGCTTCGTTTACTAAATCAACATTCAGCGAACGAACGTTGGTGTGGATTCGTCCTTTCTTACTTTTTTCTATTGACTTTTTGATTTTTTTAGCGGTCGAATGAAATTATAACAACATTCCACCACAACAATGCCAAAACAAATCTCAAATGCCTAACACAGCTAAATAATTTGCTGTTATTTTTGCCTCTATCTTTCTAAGAAGAATCTAAAATTCCTACATTATAGCAGCAGAAAAGATTTAAATAGGTATCGGGAAAGAGCTTCGAAGTCTTAACAGCTAAGCTTCAATTCCCACTAAACGAAAATTGTATTCAGCCTTATCATGAGTTTCGTTTTCCTCGAACCGGACGCCACTTTTCACTTTTAGTTTCCATGTATTCACTATGGGCGGATGAAAAATTTTCGGGCGAAACTCATTATAAGGCAGATTGAGTCATTGTAGTCAGAGTAGCGAGTTGTTTACTTCGCCATTATTGATTTTATGCAGAAAAGGGGTGGTTTACAATTCTTGTTTACCGCTATTTGCATTTATGGCAAACAGATTGCGGCGTAGTTGCGTTTTTTGTCGTACATACATATGTACGTATGTAACAACTGGCTGTAATGTTGTCAAGATGAATCAGTAACATGCGTCATGTTCGTTGCTATTGTAATTTGTATCTCTTAGCTAGTNTTTACTACTACACTACCTCCTACCAGTCAATAACCTAAACTTTTCAACTTTCTACTTAAAATTCACCTCTCAATAACATTCACTGAATATTTAAACAAATGCTTCGTTTACTAAATCAACATTCAGAAGAAANTTTTTTGTCGTACATACATATGTACGTATGTAACAACTGGCTGTAATGTTGTCAAGATGAATCAGTAACATGCGTCATGTTCGTTGCTATTGTAATTTGTATCTCTTAGCTAGTGGGAAGAAATTCCACGGCTGAATAGTTCAGTGGCTCGCACGTTAAAATTCATACTCGTATGAGTACACTTTCCCGTATCGTTATACAGCTACATGAATACATATGTACATGTCGCTCATTTACTTCAATAGTGTCATAACTCAAAAAAGCGAAACTCGAGAAAAACGGCTTCAAAGTTTTGAATTTAATAAAAAGTCGATTTTATACGAGTTGCACCATAAATTTCCTGACTTTCTCGATTTTAGCAAGAAAATTAGTCATTTAAACCATTAGTTTTGTCATGAATAACTATTTACTGATATTTACGCATACATACGGTGACTCAAACAAATGATCACGTCCCTGCAAACTATTTTTTCAGAGTATTCTGCATTATAAAGAAATTTTAAAGAATTCGTTAAGATTTAATTTGATTTTTCGCCGAATTTTACGAAATTTCGGAAGAAAATCTGTGAAGCAATGAAAATAATGCTATGTGAAGAATATCTTTCAGAATTTTTCCAGAATTTTCTTTATTTTTCGTACAGAAATTTCTTTACGAGTTCGTGTCAACCACTTCATATAATTTTCTTTGAAAATTCGTTAAAAATCGTTACAGAAATGAGATACTCCTAACGATTTCCTTAAGATTTCGGGAACTTTGGTTTGCAGGGGTGTTATTTCTTTTTTTTTTTAATATTCGTAACATTTTTCCAGCTAATTTCTTTTCTTATTACTTATTACTATTATTACTTAAAAAATCGTCTAATCTTTAACCAAAACCGTGTAAATCAAAGTATCAAACTTTATACAAAATTTAGAAAAATTCAACAAATTTTCATCAACATTTCAACTTTTTATTCTGAATTTTGAGAAAATTTTTGGGTATGCAGTTTTATAGCCCATACAAGTTTAGTATAAAGAATTGCAGGCTAAAAAATCGCGTTGATTTTTGAGAATTTTTTTTAGGCTACTTTTTGGGGTTTTTTATTATTAAAAGCGCAATTTACACAAACTTGCGTTGATATTTTGAAATTTTTATTGCTAACGGTCTCCCGCGTTTTATTTCATAAGAAATTCATACTTATATGAAAAAAGTACAAAAATCAGTCTCCAAAAAAAAATTTTTCAAAAATCAATGCGATTTTTTAGCCGTGTGAAATATCCCGTCGACCGAGAGCTGCTTGTTAGCCTCCTAAGTTATTACAAACTCAATTTCTGCTTTACTAAACAGAACTTCACGAAATACACAGGTTTAATAAATCAGCTACTTTTGTGTTCCGATCCCTTCATTACTGGCTCACGTAAACTACGAACGAAGAAGGAAATAATGATGCCGCAAAAGGTCTGGGAGTTACTGCATTTATATTTCTATATTTTTGTCAAATTACGTAGGGATTTAGTACGAGTCGATAACTTTAGGCATTCTTGGTTGTTTTTAAGAACTGTATTAAATTGAATGAATCTTAAAATCGCTGTTTTTACTTAATTAAATTTTATAAAAATTAAAAATGTTTTTTAAAGCAACAATAATTTGAAAAAATGGTAGGAGTGATAGCTATTTCGGAAATCACCACATTTCCTCATCAGACTCCTTTCACTAGGATTCGAACTGCACTGTGCTAAGTTTGTAAGTAAAACAAAAACAAAATTTTCTGCTGAAATATTTCACTAAATACAAATTTGAGAAATATAGCATAATTACATAGTAATTTATCGTCATTTTTGCATCTTTCGAAAATACCGTTGCACAAGTGATGACCGTGGTTATTTTCCGATTTCAAAAAGTGGCAAGAAATTTTTGGGTGCGGCTAACGGCAATACGCCTCCATAAAGGTGGAACCACTGTGTAATGTAAAAATTATTTGTATATGAAACAAAGCAGGAAGTTATGCAAGCTAAGTAGATAGACTAAAGAAACCGCGAACTGCGTTTCTTTATGGAATTACTTGATATGTACGCTTCGCTCACTTGTCTATGGTTCTTGAAGCTTAAAAATGCTATTTTAATAAAATTATGTCTACTGTAATGTTAATGTAAGATCTAAGGACCTTCTGTGGTTTTATGCTCTAATAAATTTAATTGCAACTAATTAGCATCTAAATTGAACCACCGTAAAATCGGTGTAGTATGTCTCAAAGCGTAGTAACAAATTCATTATCAAAGTTATTATGTCGTCAACAACAAATAAGTTTTCTTCGCATGGCACACACAAACGCACAAGCAACTACGCCGTAAGCTCGTAAATATTCTGCAAAAAAAAA